TCTTTTCTCTCCCTCAGCTCCTCCTCATCTCCTTCCCCATCCAACTTCATGGCCCCCATCCCCTGTTGATATGGTCTCTCTCCGTAGCCTTGGCTGGCCTGGAACTCACCATGTAGGCCAGGCTGGCTGCAAGATCATAAAGATCTACCTACCTGCCTCTGCCTCCCAAATGCTCACACTAATGGTGCGCGCCACCATGCCCACACGTTTTATTTTTTGAGACAGAGTCTCCCTCTATAGCCCAGGCTAGCCAAGAACTTGCAATCCTGTCTCAGCCTCCTCCAGGGTCCTGGGATTGTAGAAATGCTCTACTATGTGTGTGGTAATCATACTTTTTCACATGAAAGGGAGGCCTTCCGTTGCCTCTTCAAATGCCCCACTCTAGTGGACCTGCTGGTTGATGGCACAGTGGAGTCTAAGGGAGAAACCTGTTTCTCCCTGCCTGCACACCCTCTGCACACACTCACTAGCTCTGCCTCACTCAATATTCTTGGGAGGAAGCAAGCAAGGCCAACAGCTCTCTCAAACAGGCCTCCTCTCTCTTCATACTTTACCTATCCCACTTCCCACCAGACAACAATTTACTAATTTCCTATTTTTTTTGGGGGGGTAGGGGTTCGAGACAGGGTTTCTCTGTGTAGCTTTGCGCCTTTCCTGGAACTCACTCTGTAGCCCAGGCTGGCCTCGAACTCACAGAGATCCGCCTGCCTCTGCCTCCCAAGCACGTGCTGGGACTAAAGGCATGCACCACCACTGCCCGGTTAATTCTTTTTCTTTTTCTTTTTTTCTTTTTTTTTTTTTTTTTTTTTTTTGGTTTTTGGTTTTTGGTTTTTCGAGGCAGGGTTTCTCTGTGTAGTTTTGCACCTTTCCTGGAACTCACTTGGCAGTCCAGGCTGGCCTCGAACTCACAGAGATCCGCCTGGCTCTGCCTCTCGAGTGCTGGGATTAAAGGCGTGCACCACCACTGCCCGGTTAATTTCCTATTCTTAATGGAAACTTTCTACGAATGCATGAGAAGAACTTAAGCAGAAACTTAAGCAAAAGGGAGGTTAAAAAAAATGTCCAAAAAAACGACTATTCTGATTCATAAAAAAAAAAAAAAATGGTAGTGTTTGGGCAACTGCTGTTATCTGCGTTGGAGCTACTTCCTATTGTCCTATCAACTGCACACGATGGGCAAGCTTCCCCGTCTGGCACCATTTGACAGGCTATAAAAAGCTCCAAGTTTACTTTCAGTTTGCCCTCACCTCTACAGGAAACAGCAAAGGCTTCAGTGAAAGGAAAGGTTTTTGTTTTAAATAAAGAAAGGGCTGAAGAGACAGCTCTGAGGTTCAGAGCCCTGGCTGCTCTTGCCGAGGACCCGGGTTCAATTCCAGCACCCCCATGGCAGCTCACAACTGTCTGTAACTCCGACACCCTCTTCTGGACTTTCTGGGCAGCAGGCATGCAACTGGTGCACAGACATACATGCAGGCTAAACCCCCTTGCACATTAAATTAAATTAAATTGATTAAAGAACGTGTCTGATCCCCGAGTTGTCTAGAAGCTTAATTCTGACCTTGAAACTGAATGATTTACGAGCTCAGTGTAACAGATCTTGGGCATAACTTGCATGTATTTGGCAAGGGGTAAACTGACGTAAGGAACACGTGAGGCAGCGGCTGTCAGGTCCAGTTAGTTCTTCTTCTGTCATAACTCCTCCTCACGTTGAACACGATGATCGTTATTGGTCAGTGATTGTGAAATCACTTGACCAACAGCTGTGCACAAGTGGACCCGGCATGTTATTGTGAGTGTTGAAGGGCTAGCCCCAGCCCCTACACCACATCTGTGCATGCACTTGGCATTTCATCTCTCTGTGAGTATTTTGTTTTAAGACAGGGTCTCGTGTAGCCCAGGGCTCACTGTGTAGCTGAGGATGACCTTTAACTCCTGATCCTCTTGCCTCCACCTCCGGAGTGTTTACAGGCATTTTAAAAAAAGGTAATACAGTGTAGAAGTCACTGGCTTCATCAATGGAACCTATAGTAAGTAGATTAACCATTGTTCTTTTGGGGGGGCTGGGTTTCAAGACAGGGTTTCTCTGTGTAGCATTAGCTGTCTTGGAACTTGCTCTGCAGACCAGGCTGGCCTTGAACTCACAGAGAACCATGGCCTCTGCCTCCCTAGTGCTGGAACTAACGGTGTGTGCCACCGCCACCACCGCCGCCGCCGCCACCACCCCCACCACCCTGCAGCCATCTCTTCTTACCATCCACACCCAAGTTTCCATTACTTGGCACAGCCTTTTACATGACGATTTTAGCTGACTTTGTGGAAATAAGTAGTTTGTTATAGGAGTTATCTCTGTTTATGTAGGATTTATTTCATGTGAAGTCCTAACCTACACGTGCCTCCAGTGCGCCAATATTTGGAAACATGGTCCCTGAAAATGAAGTTAAAATGACCGTGAGGGTGGCCCTCAGTATGACCGGTGTCCTTCAAAGAAGAGGATAACAGGGTGTGTGGAAGAGGACCTGAGTGAAGACACGGGCACCAACACCTGAGCTAAAGAGAAAGGTGTCAGAATTCGGGCATCATGGCCAACACTGGGCTCTTGAGTTAAGACGCTGGTACTGTGCGGAAAATGCATTTCTGTTGTTTAAGCTACCCAGTCTCTGGTGTTTTGTTGTGGCAGCCCAGAGAGAGAACCAATACAGTAACCTAAGATCAAGAAGCTACAAGTCTGGTGCATTTGACCATCCAAACCAGAAAGCTGCAGACAAGCTGGTCTTCAAATGTTTGTTTAGCGATAAGGAGAAGGCTGGGGCTGCAGCTGAGTAGATGGAGCGTGTAGCTGGTGTAGCGCGCACAAAGGCCCGGGTTCCCAGCACTCTACAAACTGCACATGGCGGCACATGTACATAATTCCAGCGCTTAGGAAGGACAATCAATCAGAAGTTCAAGGCCATCCTCAGCTAATAATGAATTCAAGGCCAGCCTGGGCTAAGTGATTGGAGGCCCTGTGTCATTAAAAAAAAAAAAAAAAAAAGACAGAGAGGGAGTGCTGTTCATACCTGGCACCACACAGAGTGCGTATGACAAGTAAGGACACTACCCATTGGGCAGCAGCTCGCACTAACTCATGGCCAAGCACCGGTTTCCATTCGTGTTCTGATACAAGCATAAGCCGCTGCTGAGCCAAGAGCCCCTTGGAAACACCCTAGATTTTCGGTTCATTCATTTTCTCCTTTTCTTTGCTTCCCTTTCCAACTGAGCGCTAGATCAACAAGTTGGAAACATAAACGACAGCCTTGTCCACACCTACACCGTCCCCAGGCTTTCTTTCTCTCTTTTATTTTTTGAGATAGGGCCCTACTGTGAAGCCCTGTCTATCCTGGAACTATGTAGACTAGGCTGGCCTCTGCCTCTTGAGTGCTGTACAAACCACCCGACCCGGCTCCTTCTTCGTTCCTTGCTAATAATGAAATCTACAAGGTTTTGTTTTCAGCTGTTTTACCATCAGAGTGCCATGTGACATTTCTGGGAACTTTTGCAACCGAAAGGCTTACAGAGACGTCCCTGGTAAGAGAGACACCCATGGCCATCCGATCACCCGCATGTCTCAAACTCGGAATTCACTGTCGTCTATCTGGGCAGAGCACGTGGCTACCGGGGACGCGTTACATCAAGCCAAAGGTTTTTCCCTAAAAGATCTGAGCAAACTTGTTCTCTGTGTCAAACAGAGAGCTGGGGCTCCAGCTCAGTGGTAGAGCACTTGCCATGCATGAGCCCTGGGTTCGAGGCTCAACACCACAAAGCTTGCCTAAGTAGAAACAAGCTTCAGCCAAGGTCACTTCCTGTATTCCTCCAACGTTAGCATAACCAGATAAACATGAATTTATATTCTTTCAACATATAAGGGATTTCCGAGGTTACCTGTGAGGTTTTATTTCTACCGGAAGGAAGAACAGGCTAGCTGAGAGTCACTTCGAAGAAACAACCCCAGGACATGTGTGTCACTGTGACCCAACATTTCCTTCACCGTTTGTGGGAACTATATGTTTTTCAGCCATAAACTCTGCTACCTATTTATCAGGCCATGACCTTCCCCCTCATTTAGAAAAGTTTCCTTTTCTATATATCAAAGGAGAAGAATTTGTACTTTTTTTTTTCCTTACAAACTTTTCATTTTCATCTTCTTAGTCAAGAAAAGTTTTAGGGAGATTCGACGTGACTAAACAGCCCTAAATGATAACCAAACTTAAGGAAGGGTTACCAAATGGACTGTTTTCTGAACAAGAGCACAAATGCTAACGTTCTCTGGGCTGTCCCTAACATATTTCTTTGGGTCGGCAATGCCTAGCCAAAATCGAATGTTTGGTCAGAACAAAGCTAAAGAAAAAGACAATAGCTGAGTTTATCCCAATTAGAAAAAGAAAAAAAAAAGCCTCTGTTAAAATAACAGGGCCATCAGAATGCATTCTGACTTAGAGCCCAGCATGACCACACACTCCTGCATTTAGGAGGTGGAGGCAAAAGTATCAGGAATTCTGGGTCATCTTCAGCTGTATAGCAAGTTGAAGGCCATCTTATACTACACGAGACCCTACCTCAAAATGAAACAAAGATGGAATTCATGTGGACAGCTAAAGAATAGGATGATATTCTAGAACATTCCAAGATAATCATCATCTCTATAGATCAGTCATTTGGGTAATTTTCTATTTATTTCTTGAATTCTTTAAATGAATAAACCACAGGTCTTCATCCAAAAAGAGTACTTTTCAGTCATTCTGATAGGTTTTTAAGGCTGCCGCATGCCTTAGAGTTTATTTATTTATTTTTTTAGACATATAAGGGATTTTTAGACTCACACTAAGAAGTTCAGCCACCTCGAATCCCTCTTTGCCTCCTCTCCCACAATAGGACACCCTGTACCTTCAAATGGAGATGACCACTGGTATAGATGCGGAGGTTTTCATATCGGAGAACAGGGGAGAAGGGTTCCTGGGTCTTACCTTGAACCGAAGATCCCCAAACCAGGATGAAGGCGAGAACCAGGACCAGCCTGCTGCCCATGGGAACCCGCTGCATCCTGTCCAGCTCAGCCCAACACACCAGCCTCTCGGTTAGCAAATGCTGCAGAGGGCTCTCTCCGTCCCTTTCAGAAAAAGGTTCCAAAACCTCAGACCCTGCCCAAGAACACACGTCACAGTTTCCTGAACAAATAGAAAGAGATCCGCATCAACACTCAGAAAAGAAGAAACAGAAAGCTGCAAAAACAAAACTACTCATACCCATGATGAAACATCGGACTCTCCCCAAGCTTTTGCGTTTTGTTTTTTTTTTTTCCAAAAAGTTTTGCTGTTTGTCATTTGCATGTTAATTAAAATTAAAAAAAAAAAAGTTTTCCCCATCAAAAAAAGGCGAATCAGCATTCAGAAGCAGTTTTTTTCCCTTCCTTTCTTCAGGTAACGATCTAAACAGATGAGGGCTCAGCTGTTTCGAGGCTGGTGAGATAAGGGAGCTCAGATGCCACCGGCTCATCCCACAAAGCACATCAAAGAGAAACATCAGGCTCAGGCAGGGAACCTTCTTCCATGCTGGATGCTCGCCCGCCCACCGGGAGTGAGTGTTCTTGGTTCGCAGCCAGTTTCTTCTTGGAGTCTGTCTTTTCATTGGATCTCAGGCTTTCCCTCCACCTCACAAGTAAGTGAGGACTTGGGGTTTAAAAGTAAAAGGTAGCTGGGTGGTGATGGCGCACGCCTTTAATCCCAGCACTTGGGGAGGCAGGGACAGGTGGATCTCTGTGAGTTTAAGGCCAGCCTGGTCTACAGAGTGAGTTCCAGGACAGCCAGGGCTACACAGAGAAGAAACCTTGTTTAAAAACAAAATAAAACAAAAACCAACAACAACTAACCACCACCAACAAAAACTTAGCATTTTCTCTGTCCCTCTACCTCAACTGCTTCCCTGGGGGGTGATTCTATTCATGTTTCATCTTTTGTCCTGTTTTGTTGTTTTGTTTTTTTTAATTTATGCTGAAATTATGTTTTAGATCTTTCTGGCCTTGGGTAAGTCAGAAATCAGGAACAAGGGCAGGTTCCCCTCTCTGAGGGCTATGGGATATAAAAACACAGGACACACATACTCCTGTACATAAAGGACTAGCCTTTCCCTGTCCCTGGAGAGAGTGCCCAGCGAGCTTGGGGGCTGCCCTGTGCCACAGTCCCACAGGAAGGGTGGTTTATGCTGCATCTTTACCCAGGCAGCTTTCCCCTTCTTTGTTTGAAGGTTCAGCCACTCTCCATTTCAGGGGTGTCTTTCCTAGGCTGCTCAGATTCTTGCCTACTTTCTATTTCATGCTCCTACCCCTTGGCCATGCTTTGACAGGAGGGAGGCGTTTCCCTTCCCTTGTTCTGGGCTTCCCACTGATCCCTTACCGTTTCCTGCTAAGGACAGGCCTCAGAATGTAATAGCTCAGGAGCCCTGATAGAGACAGTAGCATACAACCGACTCTCTTCGGAAGCCTCTCAGAGCCAAGGAGTCCCAAACTGTAATAACCAACTCGCACACAGACCCAGCACATGCCCCATGTGGAAAATTAGTATCTGGTGGAACTCCTATCATTGGTTCCATTATCCTAACCTTCAATTATTAACCCCTGATAACAAAACAAAAGATCCTGTTAATACCTTCAGTAGGTTTCCCACAGCACCTCAGAGACAATTAGAAGTGGAGAGTCAGTTCCACACCACCTACAATCACGTGGGAAGAGGATCTCAGGGAGGGATCGCCAGATCAGGCTGGCCACGGGCGGGCCTGTGGGGGATTGTCTAGATTCTCTTATTTGCTGTGGGAAGAGCCCATAGCCTGTGGTAGGCAGCACAGTGCCCTGGCTTAGGGATCTGGGGTGTCAGGAAGAGTAGAAGATACCACAGCTCATGCTGCCTCGACTCCCTCACAGTAATGGGCTGGAAGTGTGAGCTGTAAGGAACCTAGTGGCTTTTTGTCAGGGTACTTTATCTCAGCCACAGAAGTAAAACCTGAAGAAAGAGACATTGCCACTGAAAATGATCATTGGGGGATTTTTCTCACTTGGAGACTCCCCCCGACCCCCACCTCTAGTCTCTGAGTCATGGGAGTATTATTTATTTACTTACTTATGTATTTATTGAGGCAGGGTCTCGGGTATCCCCAGCTGGCCTTGAACTTGTCGTGTAGCCAAGGACGACTGTGAGCTCCCGAGCCTCCTGCCACTACCTCCCATAATCTGGAAGGCTCCCGAGTCTCTAGTCCCCTCTGCTCACACTGCTGGTGTCGGTGGCCAGACCCGTTCTAGAACACAATCGCCCGAAACCAGACTCCAGAGACAGGTGAGCAATGAAGAGGAAATAAGGCTGGTGTGTGAAAGGAAGTCTTTCTGCGAGTCTCTTTTGCTCAGGGGTATCTGCTAAACATTTCCATGCAGGCTGATCAAAGACAGATTTGCTCTAAATAACCTGAGGCTGCGGACGAGACTATAGTTTGATCATCGCTGAAGCTGAGACATTTGTTAAAGATCACCTCTTGAAAAGGGGTCTCTTACCTACCTCGAGTCTGCCTTAGTGGGAAACCCCCTCCTGATTTTCTGATTTTAGATGTGTGTTTGTTTTTGAGATGAGGTCTCCATACATAGCCTACCCTGCAACTCACTGGAATTCACCATGTAGCCAAGGCTGACCTCAAACTCGCAGCCATTCTGCCTCCACCTCCCAAGTGATGGAATCACAAGTGTGCCTCACCATACCCAGCTCTTAAATCCATTCATTACCTTTTTTTTTGGAAAAAACTCAGGGGAAAATTTAAATGACTGTTACCTTGAATCTAGTAAGATTTGAAATATCAGCTTCTCGGCATTTAGGAAGTAGGGGCAGGAAGACCAGGATTCCACAGCCAATTCAAGGCGGGCCTGGGCTGCCCGAGATCCTGGTCTCAAAAGCAAAAAGAGCAAAGAAACAAATAAACAAAAATACATGCCAACTCCAAAGTCTAAACTTTCAAGGGCTAAATAGAGCCACATAAGAGCCAGGTGCTGAATATCACTGACCTGAGTGACAGGGGACAGGGTCCTAGGAATCGTTTTACAGGTATCAAAAATATTGGAAACAAATCTCTCGGGGAAACACTCAGGCATAAGGGAGCAGAAGTAGACGCTTTGAAAAGAAGGATTTCAAAACTGGCCGAGCATGGTAGCCAATGACCATAAGCCAGCACTTGGAAATAAAGGCAGGAGAATCAGGAGTTTAAAGCCAGGCAAGTGCGGCGCTGGACACTTTTGAGCCCTGCACTTGGGAGGCAGAAGCAGGAGGACCTCTGTGAATTCAAGGCCAGCTGATCTACACAGCAAGCTCCAGGACAGCCAGGACTATGTAGAGAGACCCTGTCTCAAAAAAAACAAAGAAGAATTTGGGGTCCTCCTAAACTACTTGAGATCCTGATTCAAAAGAGTCCTTATTGAATTTCAAAGCTCCGAACCTTTTTCCTAAGACATGCTATCAAGCTAGTCTGTAATTGCTTTTGTGTGTCATTAATTATCTTTTCTAATTAAAAATCAGTTAGTGATCCCTGGGAAAAGGTCAGCAGTTGGAGGTTTTCCAGGAAGGACTTGAAAGATAAATCCCTTGTCGTCCTCTACCCCAGAGATCACAGAAACCATGCCCTGGCCCCGGCAATCGTCAACTGTCCACAGCACCCAGCATTACTGGGTCCCTTTTCGTCACTGTTTGTTGCTTTTCTTCAGACTCTGTGGTACCGTGTAGCCCCATTGATAGCCAGTAGATTCCAGCCAGTCCTGTCACTCATCAGATGCACTTCCTGCAGATTCTAAGCTGCCTCTGGGATAAGCAATCCATCCACGTTCAAGTTCTCAACTCAGTGACTGGCCTCAAACTCATTACACAGCTGGCCAGACTCAGAGAGATCCTCCTGCCTCTGCCTCCTGAGCGCTGGGACTAAAGGCGTGCACCACTACACTCATTCTTTTATTTTTTGAGGCAGGGTCCCTGGTAGTTCAGGCTGGCCTTGAACTCACTATGTATCTGAGGAGGACCAACCATACCCGGCTTTGTCCATAACACAACACTGTCTAGACTTCACAATCCAACCTCACTCCTGTTTACTTCTCTGCTCAGAAGAACCCAAAATTAAGCTCCCAGTACCTAGCATTGCCAGTCACAGGGGAAGAAGGAAGTTCTTGCTCCTTAATGTGTAACCACAGACCATTAAGCCGTTCTTCAACGGCCTTTTCGTTTCCAGCTCCAGGGGCTGACCACACTGACCAATAAAATTACTACACTTTGCTTGGTTCTTATTTTATGCTCGACTCTAGGCTTCCTCACCCCCTTGTCTTCATTGAAAACATGAAAAGGAACAGACTCATTTAGTGAAATGCTACTTAGAAATGTAATGGTTATCGGGGACTAGCCCCGATAACCATAGAGTGTCTGCCTAGCATGCAAGGGGTCCTTGGTTCAACCCTCGGCAATTCACACACCAGAAGTCGAGGAGGTAGCCTGTCTCTTTGATGGCAGCCAAGGTAGATTTGCGCTTGCTATAGAGCAGGCTAGGCTGGCCTCTTCATCTCTGCCTCAGCCTCCTGGGTGCTAGGATTCGAGATGTGCAGCCCCATGCTCTATTCATAGTAAATTAAAACTTAATGCCCATTAAACGATAAAGGAATGTAAAATCTGGCTACTTCTCTTCTGATTTGTAATTAAATGATGTGTCTTTTGTTGACTCTTCTTTGATTTTAACTGCCCCCCCAACACTTAAGCTTGCGGATGGCCTTAGCACACCTCTGTCCAGCCCCCCCCACCCCCACCCCCAAGACACTGGATAAGTTCTGCCTGAGTAATTGTGGTCTCACACGGTCTAGTCTTGGCTTCAGAGCAGTTGTTGACGTTTTGAGACAGGGTTTCACGTAGCTAATACCAAACTTAAACTGGTATGGAGCCAGCACTGGCCTTGAACTCCTAATCTTCCTGAGTACTGGAAGTACATACCACCTCCCCCAGCTTCATGCCGATTTTATTTCAGTGGTACGGTTTTGAATATCACGAGCTCATTTAGCTATTGATTTTAAAATGTCAACAGTTTCCAGACAAGGTTTTTCTCAAAGAACATATTTTGAGAAGAGCTGCCTCCTACCCCACCCCGGGACTAGGAATGACCTTAGGGTCTCACACACTCTAGGCACGCACTGTTCTACTGAACTATATTCCCAGCCCTACTGACATAAATTTTATAGGACAAAATTACCTATCGTATTAGTCATCTGACAAAACACTCGAGAAGATCCTTCTTTCTCTCATGTGGATGGTTGTATGTGGACACATGTGTGTGCAAGTATTCATGCATGTGTGTGCAGGGTGAGGAGGTTCAAGGTTGACACCAAGTGTCTTCCTTGACTGCTCTTCAGCTTATTCACTGAGGCAGGATCTTTTTTTTTTTTTTTTTGTGGTGGAGGGGGGAAGGGATCCAAGATAAGGTTTCTCTGTGTAGCCCTGGTTATCCTGGAACTCACTCTGTAGACCAGGCTGGCCTCGAACTCATAGAGATCTGCCTGCCTCTGCCTCCCGAGTGCTGGAGTCCAAGGCAAGTACTTTAACCACTGAGCCATCATCTTCTTAGACCCCAGAAAGTTGTTTGTTTTTGTTTTTAAGATTATTTACTTTTGTTTTTTATGTGTATGAGTGTGTGCCTACAAGAATGCATGTATGTACACCGTGTGTGCCTGGTGCCCAAGGAGACCAGAAGAAGGCATCACCAGATCCCTTGGATCTGGAGTTATGGAGAGTTGGAGCCGACATGTAGAGACTGACCCAGCCTCCCCCTCCCCCAAAGCCATTTTGCTAGAATACAAAAAGTTAACTTGCCAGACAGCGGTGGTGCACACCTTTAGTCCCAGCACTCAGGAGGTAGAGGCTGGCGGATCTCTGAGTTCGAGGCCAGCCTGTTCTACAGAGCTAGTTCCAAGATAGCCAGGGCTATACAGAGAAACCCTGTCTCAAAAAAAAAAAAAATGTTAACTTTAAAAAATTCTTTTAGGGGCTGGAGAGATGGCTCAGCAGTTAAAAGCACTGGCCACTCTTCCACAGGAGTTGGGTTCAGTTCCCAGCACCTACATAGTGGCTACAACTGTCTGTAACTCCAGTTCGGGAGATTTGATGCCCACCTCTGGCTTCCACAGACACCAGGCACATATGTGATGCATGTACACGTATGTGGGCCAAACACTCATACACATAAAAATAAATACATTAATTAAAATATTTTAATAGAGAGCAAGCCTTGGATAACCACCCCCGACCCCGGGGCCCAAGGAGAATAAAGAGGTCACGTCAGAGATCAGCTCTCAAAAAACCACCCATAAAACAATTGTGGTTAGGGCCGTGGACACAGCTCAGTGGCAGAGCATGTCAACCTGAGACCGGGGGATTGGCCCTCAGCATAGTAATAATAATAGCTACGATTACTATTATTTACCTCAAGGCAGTGTAGCTGGGAATCACTGTAGCCTGGGAGGCTGAGGAGAAAGAATATTTGGGGGCGAAACAGTCGCGCTCTGTCACAAGTGAAGTGTCCTTTGATTTTGGAACATCCACGGAAGCACTCACGTTAGCTCACAGGGGTAAAAGTGAGGTCCCTTTCATTTCAAGTTTTTCCCAAGGACTTGGAGCTAGGAAAAGGAGACGACGAACTTCAACAAACTCATGAGAGAGATTGCAGGAAAGATGTGAGGCTACATCTTAAAATGACAGATGGGGAGATGAGGAGTGAGGGGGAGGCCCCGTCCTCAGTCAAGCCGGGATTCGACAAGGCACATCCTACCTCAGAGAAGACCAAGGAGGGGTATTTGCCTCAAAGGGCAGTTCTCTAGAGAGAGAGGGTGAGTGTGCTCTCCTTTGGGAGTGGTGGGGATGGGCCGGCAGAAGGTGTCTGTGGAATTTCTAAGTGTATTTTAGTTTCCGAATGCAGAGCCACTCACCCGGAGTAATGTGTACTGAGTGCATCCAGAATGCTGGCACACGCTCACCCCACGCACGGCTGCTACCTTCGGCTAATGAGGTCACTATGAGTTAAGGAACTTGAGTTCACAGGGCTCACTGAAGACTCAGACCCTGAAGAACCCCTTCCGGCAGGTTCCGTTTTAAGCAACACCCCTTCTCAGCTTCCACACCCGACCCCAGATATCTTCCCATCCATTATAATCCCCACCTCACTACCTTAGTGTCTGCTGACATTCAATGAAGGCATGGCCCAGAGTTTGCAGTGTGTGTGTATGTATGTGTGTGTGTACGCACACACAGGAGACATGAGTGTTGGCATACGCGCATGTAAATATGGATGCCACAGCACACTTGTGGAGGTCAGAGGACAAATTTCAGGAGTCAGTTCTCTCCTTCCATCATGTATCCTAGGTATTGAATTCAGGTTGTCAAACTTGGTGGTAAGTTCCTTTACCCACTGACAAAAATGATCATACTCACCAAAGTGACATTTTAGAATATGTTTGCACCATGAAATTACTCAGTTGAGCCAAGTAACACACTATTTCACACACAGTTTTGAAGTGAGATTTTAAAAACCTATTTATTTTCTTAAAATTTTTTTCTTGATTTTTGAGATAAGGTCTTACTCTTTAGCACAGACTGGACCTGAACTTGCAGCAATTCTCCTGCCTCAGACTCCCAGGTGCTCCTGGGATTACAGGCATGAGCAGTCACACCCAGCATATCACATTTTCAAGGGAATAAGCCAATTGACCCCCAAAGGACAATGACTCCACTTACGACCTTTCAACTCTATGATACTATGAACATGGAATGCACTCCCCAGGAACTGAATTTCGAACTCTGAATTCGCTCTTTCTGCGAGCAAGGTATGTGACCCTGTGTTCTCCGGCAGTGAGTGAGCTGTGACTCACAGTGAGCTTACAAGCACAGATGGAAGTGAGGAGACTCACGGCGGCCTGAGGAGTGGCAGGCAGTAAGTTTGTGATGGGTCAGTGGACATCACACTGTAAGTCACAAAGCACCCATGCCTTGTTATTATTGCCAGTGTCATACAGTAGACCTCAAACCCATTCCTCTCCAACTGATACTTTCGTTCAACATTTGCATCTTTTTTTTTTTTTTTTTTTTTTTTTGGTTTTTCGAGACAGGGTTTCTCTGTGTAGTTGTGGTGTCTGTCCTGGATCTCACTCTGCAGACCAGGCTGGCCTCAAACTCACAGAGATCCACCTACCTCTGCCTCCCGAGTGCTGGGATTAAAGGCATGCGCCATCACTGCCCTGCAACATTTGCATCCCCCACCCCCCAGCTGAGGACCGAACCCAGGGCCTTGTGCTTGCTAGGCAAGCTCTCTACCACTGAGCTAAATCCCCAACCCCTAACATTTGCATCTTAATAGAGAATGAGAATCATTGCAAGACTGATGGTGATCATTTTAAAATGTAGTCATCAAGGCAGATTTTAGTGCGGTGGGTCCCATCTGTAATTCAAGCACTTAAAACCTGAGGCAGGAGGATTGTCATGAGTTTGAGACCACCTGCCTATAGTAAAACTCTGTCTCAAAAAACCAACAAAAGGCTGGTCAGTGGTGGTGCACATCTTTAATCCCAGCACTCTGGAGGCAGAGGCAGGTGGATCTCTGAATTTGAGGCCAGCCTGGTCTACAAAATGATTTCTAGGACAGCCAGGGCTACACAGAGAAACCCTGTTTTAAAAAAACAAAACAAGCCGGGCGATGGTGGCGCACGCCTTTAATCCCAGCTCGGGAGGCAGAGCCAGGCGGATCTCTGTGAGTTCGAGGCCAGCCTGGGCTACCAAGTGAGTCCCAGGAAAGGCGCAAAGCTACACAGAGAAACCCTGTCTCGAAAAACCAAAAAAAAAAAAAAAAAAAAAAAAAAATCAAAAAACAAAAACAAAATATCCTCATGCTAAGCCTAGTATCACACACATTTAATTCTACCTCCTGGGAGGCAGAGGCAGGCAGGTCTCTCCGAGTTTGGGGACAGCCTGGGCTACATAGTGAGTTCTAACCTAGCTAGAGACACACAGTCAGACCCTTCTATTAAAAAAAAAAAAATGACAAGACGGGTTGAGGCAGAGGGTTGGGTTAACCAAGGAAGGAAAAGAACATTATGAGTGAATAAGAACTTGCTCAGTGTAGTTTAGTTTAAAACCTCAATCTTCCAGCCTGGTCTACAGAGCAAGTTAGGACAGCCAGGGCTACAGAGACAAACCCTGTCTAGAAAAGACAAAAAACAAACAAACAAACAAAAAACTCAATCATGGAATCATAGAGCTTATGTAGGATCCTCTGCATTTCTTTGTTTGTTTGTTTTTTGTTTTGTTTTGTTTTTTGTTTTTTTTCGAGACAGGGTTTCTCTGTGTAGCCCTGGTTGTCCTGGAAATCTCTTTGTACACCAGGCTGGCCTCAAACTCACAGAGATCCTCCTGCCTCTGCCTCCTGAGTGCTGGGGTTAAAGGCGTGGGCCACCACCACTCCGCTGGCCTCCAACTCACAATGTAGCCAAAGACAACTTTGAAGCCCTGATCCTCCTGCCTCCACCTCTCAAGGGTTGGGCTTACAGGCGTGCATGCCTACACAAAGTCTATGCAAGCTGACGATGAAACCCAGAGCTTCCTGCATGCTGTACCAACTAAACTACATCCCTCTAACCCTTAGGCATCATTTTCATACCTACGACGCAAATGAGGAAACTGAGTCACAAAAATGTTTAAATGCAATTGGGAATTGACGTCTGGCAGTCTGACCCCAGACCTCACAGGGCCCATTTTCGTGGCCCTTGTATGAGCTCTCTTTGTAGGAGGAAGGGATTTTCTTCATCAGTCCTATTTTTCCCAACACGTCCATCTCACCTCTGTCCTGGTAGTGAAAAACCAAACATCTACCTGGCATAAGGGCACACACCTTTAATTCCAGCACTTAGGAGGCAGAGGCAGGCAGATCTCCGTGAGTTCAAGGCCAGCCAGGACTACAAAGTGAGCTCCTGTCTTAAAACAAAACAACAAAGCAAAACCACCACCCTGTCTGTCATGGGCCAGGAGAGCCGGAGAGGAGCTGACCAAAGCATGTGCCATTACAGGGTCACCAGCGGTTCCTGGGTGGGGTCAGAACACACCAGTTTCCCTATTATCCAAAGGTTAAGACATTTGCTAGGTTTTGGGGTTTTGGGGGGGGACAAAGACACCCTCACCCCCAAGTATTTGCACAATACTTTCTAAACCTTCCCAACGGACGGATGACAGCGGCTCGCAGAGAAACCTTCCCACAAGGCAGTCTGTGTGGTGTAGTGGAAAGGGGGCCTTCACACCTAATAAAACTAAATAAATATTAACTTTCAGCCTTAGGATCAACCAAGAGCCTTGTGCAGGCAACGTAAGCCCTCTCCAGGGAGCTTGTTAGGAGCTCCCAGGCCTGGCTCTCACAGGGTTTTTCCTGACCAGAGACTACCTCCTGCCTGTCTTTTCCTCAAACCAAGTCAGATGGCTTTGCTTTTAGTAAAGTTAACAAGTCTCAATACAGGTTAGTGAGAGGGTGAGCTTGCCACCAAGGTCAATGGCCTGAGTTGATCCCTGCTTGGTGGAAGGAGGGGCCAACTCCCACAAGTTTTGCTCTGAAATTACACATATATACACTGTGCGCGCGTGCGCGCGCGCACACACACACACACACACACACACACACACACACACACACACATGCACGAAGTCTCAACATTAGCAGGCTGAGCATAATATCTCACACTTGTGAGGTACACATAGAAGGATCAGGAGTTCTGGGCCATCCTCAGCTACATGGTTTGAGGTTAGCCTAGGCTACATAGTGAAACTCCGTCTCAAGAAAACAAACAAAAAAAACCTCTGAAGTTTCAAGACCTCGTGTGGTGTCATTAGTCCCCTAATCCTAATTACTCAGGAGGCTGAGGGTAGAAGGACTGAGAGTTCAAGGCTTGCCTGGGCTACAGAGTGAGTTCAAAGCCAGGCTGGACAACTTGGGGAGACCTGGTATCTCAAAAGAACAAAGGACTTGGGATATCCTGTGGTAGAGTGCATGACTAACAAGTGTGAGGTCCTATGCTTAATCCCCAGTACACACACACACACACACACACACACACACACACACACCAACACATATGCATGCACACACACATGCACATACATAATACACATATGTACACACATGTACACTCACTCACACACACAAGCACACACAAATGTCCACACACATACATACATATGCACACACGCATGCACATACATGAATACACACACTCACACACACACATGTTTCATTACTAAAAGCAATTACTTTCAAAAGATGCCACACGGGCTGGAGAGATGGCTCAGAGGTTAAGAGCACTGGCTACTTCTCCAGAGGTCCTGAGTTCAAGTCCCAGCAACCACATGGTGGCTCATAACCATCTGTAATGAGATCCAGTTCCCTCTTCCGGCTTGCAGGCAGAACACTGTATACATAGTAAATAAAGAAATCTTAAAAAAAAAAAAAGACGCCTTACATATTGCCTTATTAATGGCACTGTTACGGTCACTAAGGACATCCAAGGTCAACAAACAAGAGGTCAATGAGCAGCCCAATATTTGGAGGCAGGGCCTATATGGCTATCACACAGCCCAGGCTAGCCCA